CCGCGGGCCAGCTGCAGCACGAGTCGGGCGGCGGCGACGACGATGGCGGCCACGGCGGCCACGATGCGCCGTCGTGGAGCCGTGGCACCTCGGTGAGCGTGCTGCTGGGCTGCACGGTGCTGTACGCCATCGTTGCAGAGATCCTCGTCGACGTCGTCGACGTCGTCCTCGACGGCTCGGGCATCGACGAAAAGTTCCTCGGCATCACCTTGTTTGCGCTGGTGCCCAACACGACCGAGTTCATGAACGCCATGTCGTTTGCCATCAACGGCAACATTGCGCTCTCGATGGAGATCGGGTCGGCGTACGCGCTCCAGGTGTGCCTGATCCAGATCCCGGCCATGGTGGCCTTCTCGGCCTACTACAACGGCGTCAACGACGTGCCCGAGAACGTCGTCCACCAGAGCTTCACCCTCATCTTCCCGCGGTGGGACGTCATCGCCATCATCTTTTCCGTCTTCCTGCTCACCTACACCTACATCGAGGCGAGGAGCAACTACTACCGCGGCAGCATCTGCATCCTGTCGTACGTCGTGCTGGTGGCGGGCTTCTTTTTCGCGCCCAACACGGGCGACACCGAGATGCCCGGCGACTCTGGACCGGGCGGCCACGGCACGCCGCTCTCCTCCAACCCGCTTGCCGGTTTCGGTGGGCTGTACGGCGGCGGCGGTGGCGGCGGCGTTGGCATGTCGGGTTTCAGTAGCTTTGCAGCGTCGGGCGGATCGTTTGGCGGTCTTCCGCTCGCGCCGCCGTCGACGCCGAGCGTGCTGGGTATCGCGGAACCGGCCTTTGCCCCGGCCCTCGGTGTGCTCCAGTGGCTCAGCGCCATGTTTGTCAGCCTCTGGGCTCGTTGATCCGGGTAGTAGCCGTCGTCGCTCCTTTCTCCCCGGACCTTCAGCCCTCTCTCCCTCCCCCCCGCCTCTCTCTCTCCACCACCTTTTTCTCTCACTCTTTCAGCAGCAGCAGCAGCAGCGGCGGCGGCTGCGATGGTAGCATCGTAATGACGCAATGAATGACCCGTACGAATCCCAAGCCCCAGCTCGTCGTTTGGCTGGATGGCAAGGCTTTTTCGCCATCGTTACTGGAGTGAGGGGAGCGGTAGCGACGGTGGTGCACTCTGCGCATACGCGTGGGGGCAGTCACGGCTGGTTTTCGAGGCAAACACGACGGACATCGCCAAGGTAGTTTTTATCTTTTTCTTCCGAACGTGACGCGCTGCTTCGGGAACGCGATGGCCGAATAGACTTTGACTCTGCGTCCGGAGCGAGACATGCGCGCCGACCTAGCCCGGACCATCTTGAAGAGGACGACATGGGTGGGCGTATCAATGACCTTGAGGAGCGGGGACATCGAATTACGCATCCTGCCACCTTTCAAAAGTCATCGATTGCCGACCCGAAATCAGGTCTCGACGTGGCTAGACGCTACCACCCGTCAGACTGCCAGCGTCCAACGGGCCATGGAACGACGCAACGACGGGTCGAAACGCCTCCGGATCGACGACAAAGGGGGATCCTGGAGACGGGGACGAAGAGACAGAAAGGGGGAAGCGCGAGGGAGAAAGGGGTAGATGAAGAAGGACGAAATGACAGAGCGAGGGGAAGAGATGGCGAGGAGGGGGCAGGATCAAGGCTCATTCCAGGAGCGTCGACGAGGAGCGACAGAAAGGGGGCAGAGCGAGGGAGAAAGTGGTAGAGGAAGAAGGACGAAACGACAGAGAGCGGGGGAAAGAGACCGCCACGGCAGGACAGGGCAGGATCGAGGGCGAAGGAAGGTCACGTCTGCTTGAATGCGGTCAGGAAAAGAGCAATCGAGGTTCGGTTGCGAACGCGCATGCGGGTGAGGACGTCGTGGCTGCTCCGGGAGCGTCGACGAGGAGCAAGTCAGCGTCAGAGAGAGAGAGAGAGAGGGAGAGAGAGAGACTGGTACAGGAGCATCGAGAGGCCAAGGCCGAGGGACTCACCTTCACTCCGCGGGACTCTTGATGAAGCGGCCGTCCGGGCCGCGGGGCTTGATGCGAGCCCAGTCGCTTCTCGAGAGTTTGGTCTTCGCCGAGAGGCCCGGGGCGGCGGCGTTGTTTGTGGATGCTTGCGAGGTCGCCTGGGTGTCGAGCGCAGGGCGCGATGAGGGGCCCGGGACGGCGGCGGTCGGGCTGACATCGGCGTCCGAGGGCTGAGGCCTGGGGATCGAGGCGGGCGGGTTGCTGTTGTCCAACGAAGAGCGAGGGGAGCGGCCGTGGGCGGCGGCGACGGGGATGCCCTCGTTCGAAGTGCGAGATGAGGGGCCGGGGTTGGGGACGGCGTCGGCGTCGTCCGAGCCCTGGTCGAGCGAGGGGCGAGGGTTAGGGTTGGAGATTGTCGCCTCGTTGTCGGGATGTGAGTGGGGCGAGGAGGATCTGAGGATGGGGTCGGCTGGGTTGGCCTCGTCGGACGTGATGCGGGAGGGGGAGCTCGCAGCCGAGGTGGCAAAAGCCTGGCTATCCGGCGATGAGGGACGGTAGGGGGGAGGCGGGGACGAAGGCGACGAGTCGTCGCTGATGTCGGCGCCGGCCAAGGCCGAGACGAGGTCGGCGACGCCTCCACGCCAGGTAGCGGTGGTGGGAGTAGACATGGTGAAGATGTGGTTTGGAGGGAAGCCTGTGCTGTCTCTTGCGACCCGCCGTTTGGCCTCGTCGGCGCACCGAGCCTCGCCGTGCAGCAAATTGTCGAGCGGTGGCCGTTGCTGCTGGATGTATGCTACCCGGTCCGGGTCGCGCGATTTTCCCCAGGCCCTAGCCGCTGCCAGCTTGCACAGCGTGCGCCGTCTCTACTTCGACCGCCCCTCCCTTGACCAGGCACAGGCTGGGCGGAACCTCCATTCTGAAGGGCCTCTCCAAGCCGGCCCGAACGCAGGCCCGCGACGAAAAGAGCCGCTTCCTTCGAGAGACCGAGACTTGAAGCTGGGTTTCGTGCTGCTCGAAACATCCTCTCGAATCGTTGGACAGGCCGCTCAACGCCTTCGCAAGCCCCTCCGTCCCCCATCAGTCTGCAGGTTGAATTGCCCATGCGGACAGGGCCTCTCGCTCATGCATAGCTCAGTCGGCATCTACCAGTGCTCCAGCCTCTTCGCGTAACGCACCTGGGCCGTACGCCGAGTTCAGAACGATTTGCAAGCAGCGCCTTGCTCTCGGGACACAGCGGGTCTTCTTGCTCTTCAGACTGTGTCTGTCTTCTGCACGAGGATGGGATTGACGGTGGACAAGAAACGTTGCTGTAACCACTATGGCGACAGGCTTGCCTGATCTACGAAAGTAGGGAGATCCCTCTGCTTGGTCATCTGGTACAGCGGGTGGAACACCTCCTGCTCATTTGGCCGCTGGACAGCTGCTTGCACCGGACCGACATCAGAAAGGATCAACAGACGGAGCGGGTCAGCCTCAGTCCGTGCCGAATCACAACTGCGCCGCTCTCGGCCACGAAGAATGCTTGCAGCAAGCACACTCACCCCATACGCCGATCTTTGCATCGAAGTTGGTCTCGCTCAGCGCCTCGAAGATGGCCAGGTCACGGTTGATCGTGGCGCATCCGGCGATGGTGGCGTTTGGCGTGGACAGGTCGCCGACGAGGCAGTTTGTGTGGTCCGTGAGGTCCTGTCCACACACTTTGGCATCGACAAAACTAGCCGTGTTGCCCGACGACGACGACGACGACGACGACGACGGTTGGGATCGAAGACCGAGCGGCTTTCCTTTGGGATCACCGAAGCGCCAGCGCACCACGCCGTCGAAGCACAAATTGAAGACGTCGCGGACCGCCACCTCGATGGGAGCCTTGGCGGCGGCGTCGCCCTTCGAAGCGGGGTTTTCCGGCAGCTTTTCGAGGTACAGGAGCGCCGTCAGGGTGAGGGATCCGACGCCGCCGATGTCGTAGTTGAGCACCTGGGACGTTTCGAGCACCTTGATCGCCGACGGCGCCGTGCTGGCCGCCACCACCGATGCCGGAGCGCGCGCCGAGAGCAGGAGCAGAGCCGGGAGCGCGGACATCAGGCGCGAGGCTGGGCGAGGTACGGGCTTCATGGCTGATTGCAGTTGCGGGACGGGGTCGAGGCAGAGAGAGCGAGGGCGAGGGCGAGGGCGGGAGGCGAGAGCACGAGCACGGGCGAGAGCGGGAGCAGGAGCAGGAGCAGGAGGGACAGAAAGGTACAAGGTCCAGTCGATGGACGTTGCAGCGTAGCGCACAGCGCACGGGTCTGGGATTCAGGAATTGATGGCGAGCTCGGAGAGGAAGACGACGACGTGGCGAAACGAGGCGAGGTGCTGGTACCGGGGGAACGAGGCAGTGGCGGAAGCGTCGTGGTCGGATCGGGTCGGGTCGAGTCGAGGCAAACGAGGGTCGGAGTCGGACGCTCGCACGAGATGGCGCAAAGGTCGAGGCGGAACGAGGATCGAGGGATCGAGGGCAATGGAGGCAGCGGACGACGAGCACACGATCCATCTTATACCTCCCGTCACCCCCTTGTACCGCAGGCGACGAAACACGGGCTCCCCCTCGGACGACTGCACTCGCCCCACCTGCGTTGCCGTATGTGTGTGGCGACGCCCCTGCCTCGTGCCCCGAGCGGCGGATCAATGATACGTGCGAACGGCTCTGAACCACAAGGTCCCCACCAGCCCCTATCGCCAGGAAGACGAGATGCAAACAAAGGCCAGGGGGCCATTCGAAGCATGGCACCTGCAGCTCCGCTACCTCGAGGAAGGCGGCGGCGTTTCATTCGAGGAGGCACCGGTGAAGGGACGGCAGTTGTCGAGGCGAGGTGGCCGGATTGCACCTCTCGACCCGGCCCCACCGACCCGCTCATCCTGGCGTTGCGCCGTCTCGACCGAGGTGTGCCAGCCCATGCTCCGTCCGCGATGAGTCGAGGGTGGGGGAGCATGCCATCGTGCGGCTCTGGACCGTTCCGCTGGCTGTCGTTCGAGGTTCGAGGTAGATCGAGGAGCGAGCGATGCAGGGTCCGAGGGTCGCACCGAGAGGCTAGGCCGGGTCGCCTGCTGCGAAGGCGCACAGGGTCGAGGGCGAGGGCGAGGCCGAGCCGGAGCGGAGTGGGACACCGGGCGGCCCTCGGGGCGCAAGCAGGCTGGTCCCATCCCGAAGAGAAACCCAAAGTCGAGGTCGAAGTCGAGGTCGAAAATCCGGGGTCCACGTCGGGGCGAGGGCAGACCCCAAAATCGCGCATTTCAAATGAATTGTCAGGCGAATTTTCGTGTCCTCGCCTCCGCATGCAACGATGCCGGGGCGGACGAGCCTCATCCACCAAGTGAGGCCGAGACCTCGGCGCTTGGTGCTCATCTCGGCGGCGAAGACGAGCCCCACCGATTATCGAACTTCGATCCTCTCTCGCTCGCCCAACGTGCAACGAGCCTCGACCGACCCGAATTCCGAACGCTGCCCCCACCTCTCTTTCGGTCCGTCGGGTCAGCGCCGAGCGCCCGTCGCCCGATGCCCAGCGTCGGTCCTCTAGCCTGCTCGTCGATTGCCGATTCCGATCACGGCACGATCTGGTGTGGGGGCTCTGCCGCTGCGAGAAAATTGGGGGGGGTCGACCCCTGGGCGTCGGCATCGCCCCTCTCTTGGCCGCGGCTGGGCCAGCCAAAGGCATGACGGATCGACGAGCTTCAGACGTGGCTGGTCTTGAAACTAGAAGACGATGGCGAGGAGGCTCATCTCCAGCCAGTCGGGTCATACGAGGTCGGGGCAAGGCAAAAAGTGATGCATCGCGACTCGGGCTTTCCCGCTGGCCTTTGCTGGCGTGGCTGGGCAGGTGTCTGTCAGCGCCGGTCTCTGCCTCTGCCGGGCGAGAGAAAATTCCAATTCTCTGGACGAGGCTGGGGCCATTTGATCGAGCATCCGAGCGAGGGTGCGGACGTCGTCAGCGCCCCTCCTTCGCCCGCTCGGTGGGGTTGCGATTCCGGCTTCCGAGAATTGTGCAGTCTCTCCACTTTGGGCATGGCTGCAGGGCCAGGGCCGCGCCACGCTCGCTCACTCGCGCCAGGACCGACCTGGCCTGGACCTCGACACCTTCCTTTGTCACCTTCACGCACACCCGCCGACATCGTTCCCCGCTTATACGCACCCGCACACCCTCACACCCGCATAAGCGACAAGCACACACAATCACAGGCAGCATGTCCTCTTCCACGACGCCCAAGCCCAACGAGGCATCCAACACCACCGCCGCCTCTACGACCGAGCAGCAGCAGCAGCAGCAGAATGCTCTTCCCTCGCTCGGAGCGCTCGATGAGGATGACGAGTTTGAAGAGTTCGAGGAGCAGGGTGAGTGCTCCTTCACCTCTTTGGATCTCCACTTCACCCCATCCCATACTGACGCTCACCGCCCGCCGTGATCTGGATGGTCGCACCGACAGACTGGCCAGAATCCGCAACGGACCTATCGCAGTTCGGCGCAACGTCGTCCAACAACGCCGCCGCCACCGTCGGCCAGAGCGTAGGACTCACCATGGGCTCGTTCACCACCTCTTCGGCGTCCTCGACCCATCCCGCCGGTTCCGCCGCCGCTGCCGCCGCCGCGGGTGCTGGCGCAGGCGCTGGTGCAAACGCTTCACACTCAGCTGCCAATGGCGATCACCTCTGGCAGGACTCGTGGGACGACGATACCGTCGAGGATGACTTTAGCAAGGCCCTCAGGTACGTTGTGCGCGCGCTTCGCCTCTGCCCGATCCGTGGCGCAAGTGAGGAGAGCCTGGTCGTTCAAGCCCTCGATCTGACCACTCTTCGCTTGCCCCCCTTCGCCCCACACTCTCTCATCGCCAATCAGGGCCGAGCTGGAAAAGCAGAATGGCGCACAGGCAATGTCGACATAGGCGCTCTGCCTCACTCCGCTCCACCAACCGGCACGGCCCAGCCTTTTTGCTCTTCTCTATCCCACACACCAGCACAATGACATCCTCCGTTCCTCTTGATCGCGCGCAGTCATGCCATCGACTCTGCCGCATGCGCGATTTGCACTCTGTGCCACGACGTCCGCGCTGCTTACGACCCTTGCCTCTGTCCCGTCCAGGCGCACTACAGGAACAACACGCAGGATCCGCACAGGTCCTCGTCGCCGCCCAGCGCAGCGAGACACTCAACGGCCTGCACCATCTCCTTGCTCTGCCCCGTCTCGAGGTAGGCCCGCGCGAACGTCGACATCTGCAGCAGGGCGGCGCGAGCGTTCAAAAGGAGCGTGCGAGAGGTCGTGAATCAGTCAGTCCGTCGGTCGGTGGTGTACGTCGAGGGTGCCACGACCATCGGGGCAGACGGGAGCGGGGCTCAACTCACGAGAAGCGGCTGGATGCCTTCGAACTGCCGGCTCGCGTTGAGAGTTAGCGCGCGGCCCAACACCTCGAGGCTTCCACTTGACGCGGCGGCGGATGCCGGGTTTCCGCCGCGGCTCGAGGCGAGCGTTCGAAGGCCGTCCAGCATCTCGGTCGGATCCAGCATGCCCGGCGGTGGCGCGGGCTCGGTGGGGATCCGCCGCTCCTCCTCCTCTTCGCCGTCGCCGTCATCGTCGTCGCCGTTCTCTTTGCCAGCTTGCTCATCACCCTCGACGCTGCTGCTGTCATTGCTCGACCGCTGTGCTGCGTCCGCCGCCGTGTGACTCGGCACCGCCGGTGCTCCCGACCTGGCCTGCCACTTTTCGAAGCTGTGGTGCACGCCCGCATCGAGCGCGGGCCGAATGTCGGAGAAGGCACGCCACTCGTCGGCCGCCTACAGGGTGAGGGGGCACAGTCAAGCGCGGATCAGCTGGGTGTCTCGCTCTTGCCTCGCCCTCGCCCATCGACAACCGCGGCCGCAGCCAAGGAACCTGGGGCCGTCCACTCACGCAGTCGAGGAGCTCGCAGGGGCGATACTCGGCCTTGTAGCGCATCTTCTGGCAGTTGTGGATGTAGAAGCCTGGCGGCGACAGCGGCGTCGGTGAGAGGTCCAGGGGCGGGACAGCTGCGGTCAGCCTCGGCTCGGCTCGACGCGACGCTTGGCCGGCATGGTGCGAGCCTCGTCGGCACAAGAGGAGAGCCGACCAGCGCGCGGGCCACTCACCGAGGTAGTAGTGGCGTATCGACTCCATGCCAGGCTTGCGCGAGAGCTGGCGGGTGAGGCCGATTTCGCGGAGGGCGCTGATCTTGCCGAGCTCGAGATGGTCAAAGTCTGGGTCGTAGAAGAGGTAGACGCTGCTGATGCAGGCGGGTAATACGTCGAGCACGCCCACGGCGATGAGCTGGCCGTCGACTGCGGCGGCGGCATGGGAAGCGAGGACAGAGGAGGCAGCAGGTGAGTGAAATTGGCGGTGTTTAGACTAACTTGGCAGTGGTGGCGGATAACCAGCGTCTTTGGGGCCGCCACGATGAACGCGGCCACGGCCACTCACGTCGGTACTCTTGATGGTAGCAGCCATAGGGTATGGGCTGGTCTGGGTCGTATGGATCTGCGAGCTCGCCTGCGCGCCAGCGTGCCTCTTGGCGGTCGTCGAGCATCTTTCCGCTGGCCGGCCAGACGGGGATGAGGCTGGTGTCGACGAGGAAGCGTTCCCAGCCTTTGCGCGAGCTGATCTTGTCGTCTGGCTCGCCGTGGACGCGTGACTGGTATCGTCGAAAGAGGCGGTACTTTTCGTCGGTCGACGACGAGAGGCGCAGCGTGGTCTGAGGGGCGAGGGGGGAGGAGGGCGCATGGACTTCGGTGAGTGGGTGCTGCCGATGGCTCGATGTCCCTGGCCAGCCAGACGCGGAGGGAGACGTACCTCGAGCCTCTTGGTCTTTGGTCCTGCGACGGTGTTGGCCCAGGCTGCATCTTGGCTGGTGTTGTCGTGGTTGTCGTTGTGGTCGTCGCTGTGCTGCCTCTGCTTTCCCTTGTCGACGGTGGTGACGGGGTGGGGTGACCACTCGACGAGGTCCCACCTGCGTTGGAGGTGCCAGTCGCGGCCCCTGCTCCATCTGCCCTTCCACCTGGCGGGCTTTGTAGAGTTGCCTCTGACGTGGAAGAGGAGGTTGGTGAGCGCCCTCTTGTGGCGCTTTGCGGGCGCAAAGGTGGCGGCGTCGAGTCGGATGGGGATCTGCGGGCAGCAGGTGCGGTCGAGGTCGGGCTTGTAGATGTAGTCGCCGGACCTGCGCCATCCTGCGTCGATGAGGCGCTGGTAGTAGTGCGGGCTGATTCGGTGGGCCCATATGCCGTAGTGTTGCGAGGTCTTTGCGGCGGAGCGTCTGCCCGACGAGGGGGGAGGGCAGTAGCCGCACGACGAGGCGCTGTAGGCGACGGGCGAGATGATGGAGAGGTAGCGGCTGCGGGCGGTGTTGCTGCTGCCGCTCGAGTCGTTGCTGGAATGCGTGGCCATGATCCCGGGTGGGTGGCGTTGGTGGTATTGGTGGTGGTGGTGGGGGCTAAAAGACGACGAGGGGGCAAGCAGAGCAAAGAGGTCCAACAACGATGGTGGCCCCACCGCAGGCGTGTGGAGGCGGCGGTGGGGCCAACCAGCAGCGCTCAACACGGCCTGTCAGAGGGCTGTCAAGAGGAGGCAGCCAAAAGGACGGCTTGGGCTCGGGTTGCGGCCATCATCTCGTCTGGCACACGCCGTCTGGCCCGCTCAAAAATCTCGACGCCTTCCCTCCGCTCCTCGACCATTCACTCCCTCGTTTGCTGTCTCGCCACTCGCTCTGGGCCGCTGACTCGCATCGCAGCTTCCACTTGCACGCCCCTCTCTCGCTCCCATCCCCTAGACAGCCCTTGCCAGCCTCCACGACGACGACGACGACGACGACGACATGGCCGGCACATTACCAACCCAGCCGCACCACCGGCAACCACCACCCCGGGCCACCGCATCCAACGTATACACCTCTGCCGCCGTCAACCGCCTCAACCACGTCGCAGACTGGGCAGACGCTCCCCACAGCACCATCGCATTCGCAGCCCACAGGTCCATCGCAGTCTGGTCCCGCCCCGCCCACACCCAATCCACCCAGATCCACCAGCTCATCGTCACCCCCTTCACAAAGCCAATCTCGTCCCTCAAGTTCAGCGCACCGCCACCACCTCACGACCATGCAAACCATGCATCACAACAACCCACGCCAAGCATCGTAGCCGGCGCAGGTGATGGCGCATTCGCCGTGTGGAAGCATCGCCCCTCCATAGACGCACCATCCCTCGCTCCCGGTTGGACCCGCACCGCAACCGTCAGCGACGCTCACTCCGGCTCCATCTCGGCCATCGGCGTGCTCAGACCCACTGCAGACCTCTCCTCCTTCGCCTATCCCTCCGAGGTCATCGTCACGGGCGCATCCGATGGTCTGCTCAAGGTCTGGACCCTTCGCACCTCTGGCGACGGCAACGACGACGCCAACGACCAGCTCGATCTGGCCCAGACCATCGACCTCAACGGCCGCTTCCCGCTCGACGTCGCACTGCTGCCCCTTCCCGCATCCACCGCGACCTCCTCGTCCTCTCCACAGCCCCCTGGTAAGCTCCTCATGGCCGTCGCCACCACCACGCGCAAAATCGACCTCTACGCCGCAGACCTCGCCTCAACCACCGCCGCCCGACCCACCTTCGTCCACAAGCTCGCGCTCGAGGGCCACGAGGACTGGGTCAAGTCGATCGACTTTTGCCACACCGCCGTCTCGGACATCATCATGCTAGCCAGCGGCTCGCAGGACAGCAGCGTCAGGCTGTGGAAGATTGCCAGGGCCGCCACCGACGACGACCAGCTCGACGGCGGCGACGGCCAACGCCAAACAGCCTCGGATCAGCCGCTCAGAGCCGACGACTTCGAGGCCATGGTGTCCAAGATCGAGGGCGACATGACAAAGGCAGACGGCGAGATCTCAACAAAGGCCCAGTACTTTGACGCTGCCGGCGGCGGCGGCGATGGCCACGCTGCCGACCGCTGGGCCGTCACCTTCGACGCCCTCCTCATCGGCCACGACAACTGGGTCACCGGGGTCAGGTGGCATCCGGCGGTGCCGTCGCACAAGAGCGACAGCGCAGATGGCGTCGCAGGGCCCGCCTTGGTCCAGCCGGCAGCGCTCCTCACCTCGTCGGCCGACAACAGCCTCATCCTCTGGACGCCCACGGGCACCGTGCCAGCTGCACCGCCATCGCCTGCCGCACCGACCTCGCCGTTCCCTCTGTTTGACCACTCGCTCGTCTCGACGGGAGGGGCCAAGCGGGCCCGCGGGCCCTCGGCGCATCACATCGCCAGTTCCATCTGGCTGCCAAGCCAGCGCTTTGGCGAGGTCGGCGGTGCCAGCAACCTCGGCTTCTTTGGCGCGCTCTGGAAACCGTCTGGCAGCAGCGCCGACAGAGCCGACGGCGCCGACAGCGAAGGCTTTGAGGCCGTCATGGCGCATGGCTGGGGCGGAGGCACCCACATCTGGCGACTCGATGCCCCGTCGTCGAGTTCCTCATCGGCGACCGGGACGCTGCCCTCGCTGCTTCCTCAGTGGCGGATCGCCAACCCGGTAACGGGTCACTTTGGTCCAGCCAAGAGCGTGGCGTGGGAGCCTTGCGGTGAGTACCTGCTAAGCTGCTCGGTCGACCAGACGACGCGCCTGCACGCCAAGCCCAACAACGAAGGTGCCGCGTCGACCTGGCACGAGGTGGCGCGCCCTCAATCGCACGGTTACGACCTGCACGCCGTCTCCTGGCTCGACCGGCTCGCGTTCGCCTCGGCCGCCGACGAAAAGGTGGTCCGCGTGTTTGCGGCGCCGCGCGGCTTCGTCGGCAGCGTCGGCAGGCGCGGCCTGGCATGCGCCTCGATCGGGACCGAGGATGAGTCCAGGCTCGGCCTGCGCGCTGCCCGCGGGCGGGATCGGCGCTGCCTGCTGGCGCTTTGCGACGATGCGGGCGACTTGGCCGCCTGCACCGCGCGCCACGGCGACCTGATGCGGCAGCTGGCGGAGCGAGTCTGCAGCGGCCAGGACGGCGACGAGGGGAGCCTGACGGCCGTCGTTGCCTCGGACCGCTTCGAGGACCTGGCCGACAATGCCAACGCGCGGCGCTACTCGTTCCGGCGTCTCGAGTCGTACCTCAAGTGGATGTACGCGCAGGCCTGGGCGGTGGCCGTCGAGCGCGGCAAGCTGTTTGTCGACATCAATGTGCTGCTCGTGCCGTCGAGCCGGCTGGGCACGATGCTGCCCCGGCTGGCGGCGGCTTCGGACAGCGTCTCGGTCGACGCCGCGTCGATCGGCTCGCTGCGCCCGGCACTGGACAATGCGCGGGTCAGATTTGCGACCATCGCCGCTGCCAAGGACGGCGGCTCCAACGAGGCTGCCACTGCCGCCGCGGATGCCTCGACCACGACTGACGAAGACGACGATGCCGACAGCAAGGGCTTCCGCACGTATCGAGTCGCCGCGCTCGGGGGCACGTTCGACCACCTCCACGCCGGACACAAGATCTTGCTGAGCATGGCGGCGCTGGTGGCGTCGGAGCGGCTGATTGTCGGCGTGACGAGCGATGCCATGATCGCCAAGAAGAGCAACGCCGACCTGCTCGAGACGCTGCCGCAGCGGCGCGCGCGGGTCGACGCCTTCCTGCGCCTATTCCGCCTGGCGTTCGGGCCGCTGAGGCAGGAGGTGGTGGAGCTGTCGGACGTGGCGGGCCCCGCCGGCACCGACGCCGACGTCGAGGCGCTGGTGCTGACCGACGAGACGCGGTCCGGCGCCGAGTTCATCGACAAGATGCGGCGCGAAAAGGGGCTGCGGCCGCTCGACGACTGGGTGATTGGCGTGCTCGGCAGCCAGGGCGAGACGGACCTGCGCGGCGACGCAAAGGCGCTGGCCGAGAGCAAGGTCGGCTCGACGGCCATCCGCAAGTGGATCCGCGCGCAGGGTGCGCGGCGGGCGCACGCGCTGGCGACGCTGCTCCGCTCGAGGCAGCACCAGCTCGACCGTCTTGTCGCGTCGTTTGCGCCGGACGACGCTGCGCGACCTGGCAAGGACGGTTCGGATGCGTCGACAGCGGGCGGCCACGACGACATTGGCAACGACGGCGAGGCCGACCTCTCGGCGCGGCCGGTGGGCGCGAGCGTGCCGCCGCTGGGCCTGTCGAACCGCGCCATCTTTTCGACGGATGCCGAGGGAGCGGCCTCGATTGTCGAGGAGCCGTCTGCGAGCGGCCAGCCGATCGGGTCGGCGCGCGAGTCGCTGTCGAGCGTGCTGACGCGGCCGCCGACCGAGGAGCAGCTGAGCGTCGAGACGCTGTGGCCGGAGCTGGACAAGGTGTACGGGCACGGCTACGAGCTGCTCTGGCTCTCTGCCAGTCCGGCGTTGTCGTCGTCGTCGCAGGGCGGTGGGCGGTACGTTGCGAGCAGCTGCCGGGCGACCAAGGCCGAGCACGCCGTGGTGCGGGTGCACGACCGGCTGCAAAACTGGAAAGAGGTGGGCGTGCTCGCGGGCCACGAGTCGAGCGTGTCGCGCATCCGCTGGAGCGGGAATGCGCGCTTCGTCGTGAGCGTGTCCAAGGATCGGAGCTGGAGGGTGTTTGAGCGTGTACTGCGCCAGGGCCAGACCTGTGAGTGTACCCTGTGACGTGGGGGCGGTGGCGAAGATCAAGGCGGTACCGTTTCAGCGCTGGCCAGCAGCGAGATGCTGCGACGTCGTGGGGGCCACTGACTGACGCCGTCTCGTCCTTGCTTCCCCTCCCGCTCTCGCTCTCGCTCTCGCTCTGCATCCCAACTCATCCCGTGACTCGCCAGCCTTCATCCCACTGACGGGCGAACGCGCACACGCCCGCATCGTATGGGACGTGTGCTTTTCCGCCGACGCGGCGGACCCCCACGTCTTCGCGACGGCATCGAGGGACAAGACTGTCAAGATCTGGCGTCTCCTTCCCAGCCCTGTCTCTCCCTCGAGCAACACCGCCGACAACGACACCGACAACGACACGGCCGGCAGCGAGGGCGAGGGGCAGGGGAAGCCCTACGAGCTCCTCTCGACCATCAAGCTCCCCGTCGCCGTCACATCGGTGTGTTTCGGCGTCGGATCCGTCCTGGCCATCGGAGGCGAGGACGGGTCGATTCGTATCCTGTCCCCCTCCCTCTCCCCCTCCTCCTCCTCCTTCTCCGACGGCGACAAGGAAGGATGGACTGAAGTATGGAGCGGAAAGGTGGCACAGGAGTCCATCAACGAACTCGCCTTCCGTCCTCCCCGCCTCGAGGACCAGAGCGACGACGAGGTCACGCTGGCGCTCGCGAGCGAGGATGGCTTTGTGCGCATCCTCGCCATCTGCGGCGTCTAGACACCGGGACACCACCGTCACGGTGGTTGAATGGGTCGAGATGGCCCTCGTTGGAGTGGGCCGAGCGGAACGGGTCTGGTGGGACACGAGAGGGGGGGGACTATGGTACAACGTTGGATGGCGTTTGCAAGCGCGCGCGCACGTTCGCGGGCGGGCGGACGAAGAATGGCAAGAACAAACGCGAGAGCCGCGATTCGAAGATGGTGATAAGCGGCGACAACTGCTGCCGCTGGTGCTGCAGAGGCGTGCATGGACGATGTTCAACGACCGTACCTGTTGGATTTCGAGCGGCAGACGGCAAGATGGAGGCGAGGAGGTTCAGCGATGTCGTGGCCAGACGGGACGAGCAGCGACTTCGACGGCGAGGGCAGCGAGCGAGGGGACGCACTTTTGCAGCTCCCACTCTCGGTTATCGAGCGGGCAGACCTGGCGCGTCTTGAGCCAGCGCGAGATGCAGTGGAAGTGGAAGGCGTGCTGTGGGAGAAAGGGCGGGCGACAAGAAGGGGGGTCAGCGGGGACGTGGTAGGTCGAGGTAGACGGGCGAGGGCGAGGGCGAGGGCGAGGGCGAGGCACTCACGTTGCACTGTCCCCATGCGACGGTGCACTCTTCTGTGGTGGCGGAGCCCTGGTTGGCCTGGCACTCGATGCCTGTTGGGCGTGGTGGACGGGGAGCAGTAAGAGGGTGGCGGTCAGAAGAGCGGACGAGGCGAGGCGAGGCGGAGAGAGGAGAGGAGCGAAGGGGCGGACAACGGCCGGACGTACAGAGGTCCATGATGTGGTTCCTGCAAATGGCGCACTACAGTGCCGACGGGAGAGGGGAGGGAGAAGAGGTGTGGACCTGTTAGCCAGTGCCGCTGCGTCAAAGGGAAGGCCTAATGTCGAGTGGCAAGAGTAGGGCGGAACGCACGTTGTCGACGACAATGTCCCAGCTCCAGAGGCAGACGCTGTTCCACTGTTGTGCCCGGCGAGGCAGTGTCAGGCGAGAGGAAGCGGCACCCGGCGAGACAGAGTCAGACGGAGGGGAAGCGGCAGGAGCGAGGTCAGTCAGTGGGCGCAGAGAGCGGGGAGCGACGAAAGCGCCGGTGCGACGCACCTTTTTCACCTGGAAGCGGGGCGGCTTTGCGGTTGCGGGCGAGTCGACTTCCATGGGCGCGGCGGATGCGGATGCGGATGGCGGGGGTGCCGGCGTGGTGTCGGCCATTGTCGGTTGTCGATTGTGGCTGTGGCTGTGGCTTGTGGCTGTGGCTGTTTGCGAGGTGCGGTGAGGGATGGCGAAGAGGATGAGGATGGGTGGTGGTGGTGGTGGTGGCGAGGAAGGTGAGTCGATCACGCCCTGCCCTGGCGTTGGTTTGGCTGCCAGGCTGAGCTGGGCTGCGCTGGGCTGCGCTGATTGACCAAGGCCAGGCAGGCGGCCAGGCGGGCCCGAGCGCTGCGCTGCGCTGTGTTGGCCCGCCATGTGGAGGCTGGAATGGGCTGCGCGCTCCCAAAATCCAAAGTCAAAAGGCGGGCGCAACGGCGTTGGACTGACAGCGAGCAACACCTCATCGCTCCCTCGTCGTCGTCGACCACCACCATCCTCCCTCGCTCTTCTAGCCATGCGCCCCTGACTGCCACGTCACTCGCTTCAACAGTGAACGCTGCCTTGACCACCCACGCGCGCACCAGAACTCCTCCCTCGAGCTCCATGCCCGCACAGCCTCACCACACCGAACCCAGCTACCCGACCACCGCATAGCCCTCGATTCTCTGCCCGCCCATTCTGCCCACCCACCGCAACGCTCCGCAACGCCACAGCGCAAGCATGCTCTCACTCTCGCCCAGCGACGGCACCATCTCAACCCGATCCCCCACTCCAGATTGACCACCCGCCAGCCCCTCCCGCAGCCCAAGCACCAGGTCCCCCGCTTCATTGACCCAGAGACCGCCCGGCATTCGCCTCGCTCGGTCTTTCGCCCCGGCCCGTCTTGGCAGCCCTGCAGCCGGCCGTCACCATGTCAGACCGCCAAGCTCAGCCGCGGCTCGATCCCAAGACCCACTCTCGACCAGGCTCCACTTCCAGCCGCCGCGCAGCCCTCGCTTCCTCCTCGAGCTCGCCCCTCGCTGCTCCTCAGCCTTCCCGCAACGCCTCTCGCACACCGGCAATTACCACCTCTGCGTCACTCCGCTCCGCCAACGACCCCAATCGCCCTGCTGCCCGCACCGCCACGTCGACCTACGCACCAGCGCATCGCTACCCCTCGGACTCGGGCTCGTCCTCGTCCCGCTCGCCCCTCACCCGCAAGGCAGCCCACCTCCCTCAACACCACACTGGCAGCGCAAGGCCTGCATCGCATTACCCCTCGACCTCGTCCGCGCCCGCCAGCCAGCCAACAAGGGCCAAGCTTCGACATGCCGCCACCGCTCCCGTAACGCCCGGCTTCCCAGGCATCCCGTCGCCACACCATCCTCCCCTCCACCCGCAGCCATGCCCGCAGTGCCACGCACCCCAGTCGAGATTCTACTGCGAGCGCTGCATCGCACGCCGCATCGCAGACCACCACCGCGAGATGCACCGCCTCTCGCTCGCGCGCAACACGGCAAAAGCCGCCGCAGCCCGCCTGCTCGGCATCCACCATGTCGACCTCGCATCGCCAGCATCGACGGCACCCCAAACCGATGCCCTGCCACTTCAGACCGCGTCGTCCAGCCGTGGCACACCTGCTCCGAAGATCCTCGAGGACGACGGCAGGCGACGTCCGCCATCACAACTCCATCCACCGCCCGAAGCGCTGCCAGATCCATTTGGCGAGGAGCCTGAATCCAGCCCGCGGCACAGCCTCGTCGCAGATGGCGATGCGACGGATCCTCCAGTGGTCGCACCCGTACCGCCTGCGCTTGTTGTCGCCGTTCCGCCTGTCCCCGACCTCGATCTTCTCAATTCTGTCAAGCTGCGGGCCCGCGCTGCTCAGCTGACCGACCGCATCAACGAGCTGCGCACCATCGCCGATGAAAGCAGGGCGAAACGGGCCAGCCGCTCAGAAGCCCTCGCAGAACGGCGCGCACTTGTCACGCGGCGCCGTCGCAACCTCGACGAGGCGTGGGCCAATCTCCGGGGTGGAGGCAGCATCGACGGCCCGCACTCCGCTCACCCTCCGGCACAGGCGGCGACCGCGGTACCGCGATCGGCGCGCGTCGGAGATCGCTGGCGGCCACAGCCGAGCCCCGGTGCATGGCCAGGCGACGACGCCAACGGCTTCAACATCGACGCCTACGACGGCCAGGCGTGGTCCACCGACATCTACCCGACGTGGGAGCGCCACGAGGCGCAGATGGGCGCAGACCCACGGCAGAACGGCGACGGGACTGCTGCGACGGCGATGGACTCTGCGCTTGGCGCTGCTCGACCCCTTTTCAGCGGCGTCCCGTCCGGCCTCGGTGCAGGCGCCCTGGTCGAGTGGCTGCGGAGCGACATCCGGCGCCTCGAGGCGGAAAAGGCCGGCGCATCCGAGGAGCTCCAGCGCACGCGGGCCATCCTGGCCAAGGAGGCTTTTGCCATCTTTGCCGTCCAACCACCGCCTGGCGCGGACGCCAAGCAGCATCAGCAGCACCACCACCAGCAGGGCCAATCGGCCGCCAACGTCGGGCTGTTTGCCATGTCATCGGCGGCGGCGGCAGGCAACAGGAGGCCCAGCCTGGCAGCGCGGACGACGAGCCTGACGGAGCGCTACATGCCGGGCGCCTTTGCGTTTGGCCGCGACCCGGACCGCTTCTCGGCAACGGCGACGCCTTCGAGCCCGTCAGCCGGACACCGCACCTTGCTGGACACGGTCGGCGAGGGTCAGCTGTGGTCTTCGAGCGCAAAGGGCGGCAGCAGCGGCGGCGACGCTGCATCGGCCGCGGCTGGCACCTCTCCTTCGCCCGGCTCCAACGACTGGACGATCGCCGGCTTGGTGCTGCCGCTGCCGAGCGATGTGCGGCGCTTCCCACGCGACTCGATCAACGGCGCCATCGCCCACACGGTCCACCTGCTGCAGCTGCTGACGGGCTACCTGGGCATCTCGCTGCCGTTTGCCATCGGTATCCAGGGCGGCAAGGTCAGCATCCGTCCCAATCCGCTGTGGGACGGCGGCGGCGGGTCGAGCAAGCAGGCGCTCCATCTCAGCAGCGCCGCCTACGCCGTTCTCAGCGCGCCTCCCGCCGGGACAGAGCACGGCGGCAGCAGCAGCAGCAGCAGCGGGGGCGGCGGCATGGGCAGCCTGGCCGAGTCGACGCTCAACCTGGGCGCCTCGACGCTCTCGACGCTCGAGTCGTTCATCCAGCTGCCTCCGCGCAGCCACCTGTCGTGGGGCCGTGCCTCGACGCTGACTGGCGGCGCCTCTGCCAAAGAGGCTGGCGGCCGGGACCGGGACAAGCCTGACGAGGCGTCGCCGCCCGCCAAGGACACCAGCGACGCCGGCAACAGCGGCGGCCGATCGAACCACCGATCGCAGCGCACCGATCCGGGGACGCAGGCGGCCCGGGCTTTCTGCGCGGCGCTCGTGATGCTGAGCTACGACATCGCCTACCTGGCGGCGACGCAGGGGGTCAAGGTGGACCTGGTGTCTGCGGGCGGCAGCGGGCTGCGGCTGCTGCATCAGATGGTGTCGCACCCGGGCCTGGGGTCACGGTCGCACGCCAACCACGGGGGCAAGGCCGAGATCGCGGACCTGTCGTTTGGCGGCGTCGACTACGACCAGCTGGTGCAGCTGCTGGAGCCGATGAAGGCGAGCTCGAGCAAGTCGTACGCCAGCGCTGCGCCGGGCAAGGCTGCGCGGCAGGACGCCGGGCGGGATGGCGTCAGGGCCTCGTCGAGCGGTGGCGGTGGTGGCGCCAGGGGCGGAGCCAGGGGCGGGCGCGGCGGGCTGGAGCAGAGCTACGTCGACGCGGGCGAGGCGGCGGCGTCGGTGCTCGACATCACGGATCCGTCGGCGCTGGCGAGCCGTAGCGCGGCGGCCAGGGATGCGGGTGCGCGCGAGACGGTGCCGGCGTCGCGGAAGGCGGAGGCGAGCCGCCGTGGTGCGAGCGACGGCGGCACCGTTGAGCGAGCGACGAACAGCAGCGGAGGCGGTCCCGGTCGAACAGAAAAAGGGTCGACTCCTTAC